CAGGCGTCAGCGGGGTGGGCGGAGGAGCAGGAACTTAGGGCAGAGACGTAGAGAGAGAGACGTGAAGGAGGAGGCAGAGGAAAGAGAGAGGAGGCGGCCGGCAGGAAGGTGAGCGAGGCAGACAGGTTGGCTAAAGTTTGAAAGAGAAACAGTGGAGAAGCGGGGGGGGAAAGTCAATAGACTCAGGAAAACCAGTCTGTGAAGTGCCCGTGGAAGGCAGAGGGGCGGAGGGCTTCTCCTGGGAGGCAGCCCTTCTGGGGGGTTTACGATGTTGCTGGGAGTTTTTTGCCTCCTCCAGGCCCCAGCTGTCCATTTCCTGCCATGGACCCCTGGCTCCTCTGCCCTCCTCCACCCTAGGCCCAGGGGACCACCCCAGGCTGGGCTCCGTGGGTCCCCCAGTCCATGCACACCTGATTCCCGCAGAAGACGGACAGCGGCTGAGCCATGGATTCTCCGTGGGACAAGATGAGGTCCAGCATCCCATCTCCATCGAAGTCTGTCACCACACCCCCTGCAACACACGGACTGCGCTCTGGCCATCGGCCGGGGGACCCCCGGGGCAGCCGAGTGGGGAGGTGCTGGGCCTGAGACTGTGGCTGCCACCCCCGCCCTCCCCTTTCTGTCAGCCACCTCGCGCTAGGAATTCACGGAAGACGGTTCCCTTTCCTTCCCTGGGGCTTCGGCACGGGAATGGGGGGTACTAATTATTCAGACCACGAGGACTTCTTTCTGGCCTCTGTGTTATATACGCCTGTGATACTGGCACAGTTTTCGTCAATCTACTAAGTCTTTGCATACACATGGTCTCCTTGGGTCCTCACTACTCCAGAGGTGAGAAGGCAGATGTAATTGGCCCCATGTTACGGATGTGGAGAACAAGGCCCAGACCAAGTACCTTTCTGAGACCGCTCTGTCTCTGACACCAGGCTGAGTGCCAAGAGGGGAGGGGCTAGACTTCAGGACCCCAGCCCCTCCTTTCTATCCCCTTCGCAAGGCATCGCCAGAGAACCTACTGCCCATAGATTCTCGGCCCGGCCCCGCCCCCAGCTGCCCTGGGACCGGGAGAATGAACCACCCTCTCCTCTGCTTCCTGCCTGACACTCTCAGGGGCTCCCCCTTCTCCACTCTTGCTCCTGCTCTAGGGTCTTAGCCCTCAGAGTGGGATTGGCTGCCTCATCCTTCCCTCCCTCGTCCCAGACAATGGGAAGCACTGAGATAGGGGAATGCAGGCTGAGCCCTGAGGTGCCCTCACCTGTGCCCCGGCCCTCAGGCTCCAAGGCATCGCCAGGATTGAGTTCCTCAATGAGGGGGTCACCGTGTTCCCTGCGGGTGACGCTGTAGGAGAAGAGACAGGCTGTTCATGGGTGAGTAACTAGCTGCGGAGGCCTGAGTCGGCACCTGGACCTAGAGACCTACTTCTTACTCCAGTCTCGGCCCCTGGAGCATCGCGGGTCCCACTGTGCAGGGGCTGCCACCTGCATGCCTACGGGGCCTCTCTTGGTTCAAGGCCCTGGCCAAACCCTGCCTGTTCCCTTCCTGGTTTTGAATTTTCTTTGTGATGAATGGATTTTTCCTTTTCTAATGGATGAGGTATAGACAGCCTGGGGAAGGCAGTTGATGGATGGGGAAGGGACAAGGGCACAGCTACCTTCAAATGACCTTCCCTTTCCTTTAAGTGGCTCTGGATTTTCAAGTTCTGGATGGTACCCAGGGTTCAAACCCCACTCAAATGCTCCCCCCGCCCCCCGGTCACCTCCAAGTTCTCCCTGGTCGTCCCGCTAGAGGCAATGCCTTTCTGCTCTGCCTTTATCACTTGCCTGGCCTTTATCACTTCCTGCCTTGTGTTAAAGCTTTGTATGAATGTGTCTTATCTCCCCGGTTAGACTGCGAGCTCTTTGCAGGCTGGGACCATGTATTATTCATCTTTGCATCTCCCACAGCATCTAACATCGTGTCTGGCTCTCAGAGCGCTCCAAGCACACGTCTGTGGGATACACAGATGAATTTCAGAGGCAAAGGGAGGAAATGGGGCCCTTTGGGTTGCAGGGGTTCTGTGTTGACTCGGAATCACAGTAATATTTGTTCCAGAAAAGTCCACTGTGAAAGTCCTGCTCTTTCTCCACGGAGCTGGCTGCTGCCGATGGCCGTGAGCTTTCTTCTCTAATTTTACTCACTTGTTAGATGCTCCCAGCCTTGGGTGCTCTACATGTGTGGGACAAATCTGGGGGCAAACAGGGGGCTAGGGGGGTTCTTAATTACCGCCCCCCCAACACACACACACTGCAGGTGACTGTTGTCCGCCCAAATCACAGAGTCACCAGAGGGCTGCGATGTAGCCAGTGCTTTCAGGAGGGGACTGAGTCCCCTGAGCTGGAGCCTATGGGGTGTGGACGGCAGAGAGCGTTGGTACAACTGCAGGGTGCCTGTCGGGTGAGCAGATGCCCTGAGTGATGCCCTCCATCCACACGGGGCGTCTGTGCTGACGTCCCTGTGAGCAGCGTGCCTGGGTGCACTTGGCTGTGTGCGCACCTGCTGGAGGTGTGTATGCCCCGGCCTGCTAACACCCCCTGTCCCTTTGACTCCTTGGGTCCTGCCGACTCCGCCACATCTGGGCAGAGGCACCCCTCGGTTCAGGTGACCAGGCAGGTAAGGGTTCCTGAGGATAAAACCCAGCAGTTCCGTTGCATATATGTATTCGCTGAACAAGTTCTTCTGCAGCAACTTGTGTGTGTGCTGGGCACGGCGTGGGGGCCTGTGCTATGCTGTGCATCAGGGAGGAAGAGCTCAGGACCCATGACCACAGGAAACCTCATGCAGAAAGAGTGCCGAAGGCCGACAGGGAGAGGGGCGAGGGGAGGGCAGAGCTGGGCAAGCTCATCCAGGTTTGGGTAACTGGGGCAGGCTTCCCAGGGGAAGGGCTGAGCTGAGACAAGCATCCTGAGTGAGTCCATGGCATTCAGACGTAGAGGCATTTGGGTTGCAGGGGTTCTGTCTGTGTTGGCTGTGTGCACACCTGTGTGGGCAGCATGAGGGTCCGGGGCTGGCACAGCCCAGAACGGAGAGAAGCTGGGGGTGCCTGGTGCTTAGTGGTAAACGGGGAAGTGGGAGTGTGGAGGCCGGGGACAAAGCTGGTAGGTGTGGGATGTGCCAAAGAGGAGGCTTCTGAAAGGTTTCAAGTGGAAGAGGGGTGTGGCCAGATTTGCCTTTTCAACTGCTTGCTCTGCAGGACTAGACACAGGGAGAAGGCTGCAGGTGGGCACAGGAATCCCTAGGGGAGAGAGTGGGGGTGGCAGAGGGTGGAGAGATGAGAACAGATCAGAGGCGTGTTTAGATGGGTAAGTGGTGTGAGCGTGTACATCCAGTCAGTGCCTGCTGTCTTGCCGTTATTAACAGGGCCCCTTGTGCTCTCATGAAGCTTCCGGTCTGGGTGCTGCATTCCGTGGTCATCCTGAGCGTTGCTGGAGGACCTGCTGACGCAAGCAGCTTTGAGGCTCCAGTGCCTCCTACACGGAGACCATGTTCCATTCAGGACAGGGACGGGTCGGGGCTAGATTTCCAGTTTCCAGCTGCGTGGGGGCCTCAGTTGGGTGCTCAAGACCCAACCATCTGCCAGGGGATTTGGGGCACAGCCATGGCCCTGGAAAGTGGCTTCCATGGCTGCTGTAGAGACTCAAACACATGAATTCATGGGGCAACTGCGTGGTGACACTGAGGACAGCCCTGTGCCAGCCGGCCCTTGGGGTTGCCCAGAGGGAGGCTGGGAGGGGGGCCGGGCAGGCAGGCCGGTGGGTAGAGGAGGCGTCTGGGTTCTTGGACCTCAGAGATGAGAGCACTGGGCTCCTTGGTGATCAGGGGCCCTGGCAAGTGACACTTTATTAGCCTGAGAAGGAAAGCAGTGTCTCTGTTAACGAGTAATTGATCTTCCGCAATTAATCTGGAAGTTGTGAATAAGCTTTTTGCAAGGCACCTAATTAGTAAATCTGGTGCCTCCGGGGGGTGATTACATCCAGCCAAAGATTGATGCTTTGTTAATACTTATATTTTAAATGCACTTAGTCACAGCTCTCACCTTTTATTAATAGTTGGGGCCCTCCTGGAGGAGGGGATGGGACCTTGGGGAGCCCAGCAGGTGATCTGACCCATTTCCTGAATCCAAGGCCCCTGGCCTACCCTTTTCTCCACACCTGGTCCTGAGCCCCATTAGCATGTTCCATACCAGGGACAGGGCCATCTTGGTTCTGAGGCTTGTTCCCCAATAGTGGTTCTCAAACTTTATGCCTGATGCCTAATGCACTTGTTAAAACTAGAGATTCCACCTGGCTGGTGTGGCTCAGTGGTTAGGCATCGACCTATGAACCAGGAGGTCACGGTTTGATTCGGGTCAGGGCACATCCAGTCAAGATTGCAGGCTCGATCCCCTGTGTGGGACGTGCAGGAGGCAGCCGACTGGTAATTCTCTCTCATCATTGATGTTTCTATCTCTCTCTCCCTCTCTGAAATCATATATATATATATATATAGCTTCCTGGGCCTCACATCCTGAGATTCTGATTCAGGAGATCGAGGTGGCCCCTGGGCTTCTACTTTAAGTAAGAACTCTGGCATCCTGAGATTCTGATTCAGGAGATCGAGGTGGCCCCTGGGCTTCTACTTTAAGTAAGAACTCTGGGTGACCCAATGCCAACATTCTCCGGACCCCTCTTAGACAGTGTTGCCTCCACAAACCCAGTCCTGCCTGCCTAGGCACAATGCCCAGATGCTTGCAGATTTCTTTCACTCGGTCACTTCATGTACTCGTCTACCATCAAGGTCTCACCCAGCATTTCCCAAAGGATGTCTTGCAGAGCACCAATCCCAAGAGAAAAATCTTTGAAAAAAGTGTTTTGTGGTCAAATCTATTTGGAATATTTTATCCACCTTTTGGGAAGTAAAAATACTTATGGTCATGCTAAAGGCTCTGAGAAGTCCTGCAGTAAAAAACACACCTGCCTGTATTTGCTTGACTCAAGCATAAACAGATTTGACTCTGTAACCGCTTTTTGTGTTTTTTTCTGGGCACACTTTGGGCCATATCCTTCTGCCCACTATCCACCCCCGCCCCCCCCACCAGGAGGCCCGCTTGTTACTCAGCATTCACCCTCCATGCCTGCAACCTCTTGCTCAGTCTCTGTTCTTCCCTCCTCTCTGTTCCTTCATCAGGGTACCATCTTCCACCTCAGCCCTTGGGACGCCCCTTCTGAGTCCTGCACCTTCCTCCTGACCCCCCAGCTGCCAAAGGTGAGTGGGCATGAGCCTCGCTGAAGCGTCTACCGGAAGAGGCGGTTGGCTGAGGAGCTTCGGTGGGCGAAGTTGTTGAAGAAGATCTCTAGCTCCTGGTCGTTGTCAAAGTCGGCGGCGATGACTGTGCGGACAGGGGAGGGCATGGAGAACTTGGGTGAGGCGATGTCCTGGGAGGAGAGAGGCTTCAGGTCAGCAGACAGATACGTGGGAGATGGGAGCGGGTGAGAGGGCGACTGTCCCCCTGTGTGGGTGTGCATGCACCAAGATAAGGCAGCTCGACCTAACGCCTCCTCTCTCACCTCCCAGGGAAGGGACCTGGGGGCCTGTGCTGAGGACCACAGAAATCTCAGGCTGCTTGTGGAACAAGGAGGGAAGAGGGATAGTTCCAATTCACATCAGTGAAGCACTGGGCTTTTCCTGATTGCTATCACATGTAGCCTTCTCACCCTCACCCGAGGAAGCACAGACATTAGCATTCCCATTTCACAGGTGAGGCAATGAGTCCTGGAGAGCCCATACTCGTAGCTAGTAAGTGGGGCCATAGCCAAGGCGTCTGATTCCAGGTGCTGTGCCCTTTCTAGTACACGTCCTTACTCCTCCTTGTGAGAGTCAGAAGCGGGGTGGATACAGAAAAGGGCTGTGCATTGGAATCCAGACTTCCCTGCTGACGAGCTGTGTGATCTTAAGGCAAGTTACTAAACCCGTCGGATGCCACTTTCCTCATCGGGGAATAGTAACAGTGGCCCGGGTTCGAGGGCTGCGTGGAAAATGGCTGGCACAGAGCGGGCAGGGCTAGGTCTCCGGCAGCCTGTCCTGGCCTTGCTCCTGCTCTCAGCCTCATGGAAGGGGGCAGAGGCTGCCTTCGGTTGCATTTTTGCTGCCTCTGTTTGATTATGTTGTTTCTTGGGGCGTCTTTTGACGTTTTTAAAAAGACATTTGCTTTGGAAGGTTGCATAGATGCTTGTCCATGGCTCAGGGGGACCCCAGGCTCTGGATAGCCCAGCTGGGACCCTAAAGTGTGGACAGGGCCTGGGAAAGGGTCCTAGGTGTGGGGTTTGCCTTGGAAATAGGAGGAGTGCTGCCTGAATCCCAGGGCCCACGTGGAGAGGGCTGGGAAGGGCAGTGGTGTTTCTGGGAGTGCCCCTCTGCCCCTCGCCTAGGCCTGCCCCTGGGCCTCGTACCGCAGGCTCTCTCCGTTGGCTGCAGGAGTGAGCGGCCTGGGACTGCTGGCGAGCTGCCTGCTGTGGGGAGGCCAAGGAGGGAGGCTTCCCCATCAGCTCAGTAACGAGGCTGATGAAGAGCCCGGCCAGCTGGCCAGGGAGGGCTGCGCAGGGCCTTAAGAGCCGGGGAACAAAGAGGACTCAGTATCTCCAACTCGTTATGATGCTATTGATCCTGTAAAGATGGAAACCTGCATAGCCCCCGTGGGGCTGACCCCCGGGACGCCTGGGCTTCCAAGATAATGTATGTAAAGTGCTTTGTGCAGTTCCTGGCCCATGGAAGGCACTTGATAAATGTGGCATCTGTTGTTATTATTATTATTACTATTGCTCCTGTGAGCTCTGGGGAGGAGCCATCAGAGGGTTGGCAGGGTTCGTCACTCTCGGCACTGATACTAGGGCTGGGCCGTTCTTCGCTGGGGGGCTGGCCTGTGCCTTGCAGGCCATTGAGCAGCATCCCCGGCCTCTGCAGACTAGGTGCCCGCAGCATGCTCTGCCCATTGGTGACAACCGGGAAGACATTGCTCAGTGTCTTCGGGTGGGGTCAAAATTGCTACTGATTGAGAACCTGAGTTAGAACAAAAAGCTGAATAAAAATCATCCACATCCCAGGATCAGTGGCCCGAGTTCAGGGCACACCTCCTCCCCACCCAGCGAGCTGGCTCTCCAGCCTCTGCAGGGAGCGAGCAGCTGGGCCTGAGCACCCCAGGGTGGCTGCCTACGGGTAGGGAGCTGGCGGAAGTCACCCCAACACAGGTGCCTAGAGACTTCCCTGGGACCATGGAACCTCAGGTAAACGCTGGAACTTTCTCACTCCCTTAGGGGTTTTTGGCAAGACCCGGGTACCTCCAGGGCAACCCTGACTCCCCAAGATCAGCTTCAGCCATTCATTACCCTTCTCGAGAAAGCCCCAAACTCCAGCTCATCAGGCTGGTGGCACCTCCATGACCTGCACAGAATTCGTGGCCTCCCCGTCTATCTGACAGCTCAGAGAGGGCGCACAGAGTAGAGAGGCTTGCCCACCCTCTGCCATTTGTCCTTCGGGGGCAGCTGTTGGATCTGTGGCCTCAACCTCCTCCACCCCTACTCCCCACTGTACCCTTGGCCGGGACCTCATTTTGCAAAGCTCAGGCAGGGGCTACAGACGGGGTTTTCTGCCGCACCCAGAGCCTCCTTTGCTCTGCCCACCTTGGGGGGCTGCCCTCCCTCCTCTGCTGCTGGCTCTCTCTGCTCCGGCCACTAGAGATGCTACAGCAGCCAGGGCTAGAGTCCATCGTTGTCCCCCAGATGCTACCTTCCTTGTGGCTCCCCACCCCACTCCCAGGCTCTGCCCGGTGGGCGGCACAGGCGGGGCTGCCATCCCAGGACCTGCAGGGCCACTCAGTGCTGGGTGGCGGAGAGAGAGGCCCCTTCTTACCCGAAAGCGGACCTTCCCGTGGGCGCTCATCTGCAGATAGAGGCGGTGGGGGCCGTTCCAGTTGCCGTAGACAATGTCCACTTTGCCGTCGCGGTTGAAGTCCGCCAGGGCCACCCCTCGCCCGTGCTGGTGGGGGTCGTCCACACCTGGGAGGAAAGGCAGGAACCCTCAGGGCAGCGCCCCTGTGGCTCCAGAGACACGAACCTCGCAGGGGCTCTGTGATGAGCAACAAGGGAGGTGGCTCTTTGCTGTCCCCGCCCCTTGGGATGGGGAGACACAGTTGCACGTCTCAGAATTTTTCCATAGCGGGTGGGAGGTGGGACGGCCGTCCAGCTGCGAAGGAATCAGAACCCTGTCTTCAAGCATCATTTGCCCAGCAGGCACATTATTTTTACTCAGTTTTGGGGCAGCCTCGGGGAGACTCGGGAAAATTCTGGAGCACTGAAGCTCTCCCCAGCCACCCCAATACTACCACTTGGACACATTAAGTTGACCAGCACTCTTCCACTTAAGTCTCTCAGTGGCTCCCCAGTACTCTTGGGTCAAGTTCAAATTGCTGCCGGGGTGGGGGGGGGGTGGGGGGTGGGGGGGGGGTGGGGAGGACAGGTCCCCGCCCACCCTGGTTGGTCTTTATCTGGTGCTCTCTGCCTCTTACTCATAAGCACTGGCCATCCCATGTTCCTTTCGTTCCTCAAATGAACCAAGCTCTTTCTAGCTCTTGGGTCTTTGCTCAAGCTGGTCTCTCCTCCTGGAATGCTCTCTTCCTGGCTCGTGGGTCCCTGGCTCCCTTGTTTTCCTTCTGCGATTAGCCACCGTGTCACCTCCTCAGGGGAGCCTTCCCTGGTCACTCCCATGAGAACAGCCCTTCCACCCACTGTCTTCTCCCCGACAGCCCCCTCCCCCGTTCTTTTCCTTCGCTGTGCAGATCACACGCATAATCACGTTCCTCTGGGCTTTGCTTGCTTAGGGTCAGTTTTCCTCCTGGTCCTCAGAGACCGCCTTCGTACTCACCTGCGTTCACACGGCATCTGTCTCGGTGCCTGTGGTGACTTAGTCGTTTTCAGTAAATACTTACTGAATAAATAAAGAGGCATAAATAATTCACCAGGAGGCAACTGGGGATGTTGGTGACAGCAGAGGAAAGACCGCACCATGACAGAGAAGCCCACAGCGTGCCCTGTGCGGTCTGGGGGCGGAAGCTGGTGTGCCCAATGTCACCTGCTCATGCTGCCCTTGAATCTGCCAGTGGCCAGCGGGACAAAGCTGATTCTGGGGGAGGATGGAGGGGGGTTTTGCCCAGGCGGCCTGACCTGGCTTGCGCAAGGCAGACACGTTCCCTCGGGCCAAGCCCGGAGCTGAGAGATGGTGGATGCGGCTCTAAATACCCACGCTGACTCTTTCGGGGGACAAACTGCTGTTGGTCATCAGGCCGTCAGAGATGGCAGGCGACAGGACAATATAATGGGGAGTGGGAATCACAGACCCGAGGACACAGGGAGCTCTTGCCAGCTGCAAACAGAGAGAAACTGAGGCCGGGAGCCAGGAGAAGGGGGGGTGCCGCCCACCCAAGGGCCTTGGAGGCTGAGCATCCTCTGGGGGAGAGGGTTGAAGGGTGGGGGTGGGAGATGTGGGGGAAGAGGCAGGGAGAGCCAAGCTTGAGAAAGAGGGTTTGCAAAGAAATGGGGGTGGCCTCCAGCCTCTCGGGTTAATAACCCATTAATTCTCTGCAGAACCCCCAGCCCTAACGTCAGTGGCCTTTTGTGTTGGCCCATTTCTCTCCTACCTACGAGGCACCTTGACAAGGAGCTGGTTCCCTTTCACGGGAATAATCGGTACCGGCTGCATTTCACAGCAGCATCTGTTTGGGTGATGAATGCCCTCTTGACATGTCTTGTTAAACCCCTGCAATCATTCTGACTTTCAATTACGGCGCCTCGCACCTTTCCTCTCTCCTCCCGCCTGCTACCTTCTCCCACTCCAACTCGTTGGCTCACCTCTGCTTCCATCTCTTTAACACCTTATCAAATCCTCTAGGTTCTCTCCACCACCACCTCACTTTCATCTTATGCTTTTCAGCAATGAGAAAATTTGCTGCCAGAGTGTACAGCTCTAGGAGGGGTGAGCTGATGGGGAAGACAGGCCAGGGGAGCTGCCTCCAACTTTAGCTTTGCCTGGAAGGAGAGGGAGAGGCAGGATGGGGAGCTGACCAGCTACCAGTGTGTGTGTGGGGTGGGGGGTGGGGGGGGGGTAGTGGTCAAAACGGAAACTCTGAGCAGAGCTGGGGAGAGGTACTCTTATGGATTGGCACAGATGCAGGGATCTGATGCTCCTGCAGGTGCTGGAGCTTGTAAGACCGTTGATCTATGACTCTAGGTCCCTGCTCACCCCTTCTTCTGGAGGCCAGGGATTGTCCCTAGGCCACCAAGAAGGAGGGGAAGGCAAATCTTCCATTCATGGGCAAGGCAGGAGGGCCTGAGCAGGGGGAAGTGGCTGGAGGGCAGACTGATTATATCCATCAACTGTTACTGTGTCCATTCTATCATTCAGCAAAATGTACTGGGTGACCACTACAGGCCGAGCGTCACGTCAAGAATGAATAGTACAGAGCCCGGTCCTGTAGACACAGAGATTATTACAGCAACGTAGGAGCCTGAGTGAGCGCTACATGCCAGGGCAGTGGGAACACAGAGGAGGGAGTGCCAATCCCTGCCGGGCGGCACAGAAAGGCTTCCCTGATAACACGCGAGCTGAGTTCTGCAGATAGAGAAGGGAGAGAGGGCACCTCAGGCAGAGAGGACAGCAGGTGCCAAGGCCCTGGGGGAGAAAGGGAAGCAGAACTAACTGGAAGCCTGGAGTCTGATTTTGAGTGAATTTTATCCTGTTTCTTATGAGAGCTATTCGTGTCTTTGTCTGCGTCCCCGGCTAGAATGGCAGTGCCTTGTGTGCGTGTGTGAGATAGGGTGGGTATGGTGGCCTTAGCCTCATTCAGGTCAGCGTCCCCAGCTCAGCACCAGCCTGGTGGTTAGCAGGAGCTCAATAAATAGCTATTGGATTGAACTGAATGCTTAGGGTACATGTGGGGAGGGGACATGGAGAGAGGGGAATTGATGCTGAGACTTAAGCAGAGCTCAGAGGGACATGGGTCTATTCAAGCTGCCGGAAAATGGAGAGTAATCAGGAGTTCCAGCAGCAAACACCCCTGTGGCCTGAACCATGGCGGGGGCCGGGGGGGGGTGCAATTGGAGATGACAAGCAGCGTTCCCCTGTGTGGGGCAGAGGATGACTGTCCCGCTCTCTCAGAGGCCTGTGGGTCATGCTAGAGGGGGCGGGGCAGCCCAGAGTCCCTATGGGTCCGGGGACCGAGGGACACAGAGCAGCAGCTACACTTACCAGCGCTGGCAGCTGCGTCCACGAAGGTGCCGTCACCCCGGTTATGGAAGAGGAAGTTGGGCCCATTCTCGTTGTCACAGAAGATATCCGAGGCACTGCTGCTGAGGATGGGGCCCACGCTGACACCCCGGCCCCCTGGAGAGGACATGGACCACAGTCAGTGGCAGAAGCAGCGCCCGTTCTGTGTGGAGGACTGGCTGCCTGTGAGGCCTACTGCGATGCCTCAGGAGAGCCTTCCAGAGGCTTCCCTGAGCCCAGATCAGGGCTTGAAGTCCCCCAAACCCATGTGGAGGGTGGCCACACGGATGTTGAGGCAAGTGAGGAGCAAGACCAAGTCACCCTGTGCTAAAGGATGAGTCCATGAGCAGAGAGATGGCTGACTTACCACAATCCCTAAACCCAGCTCTCACCATGCCTGACACCCCACCCACACCCCAAGTCACACAGATGTGGGGCGAGTTCCTGTTCTAAGAATTTATGGGAATAGGCTCCAGCTATCGGTGCAAGATGCTCACCCTGCTTTGTTCGACATTGTGAGCGACTGGGAACAACCTGCATGTCCATCAACAGCAACTGGCTGTTGGATTACGGTACGCCCATATGGCGAACCATTCTGTAGCTACTAAAAAGACGGTGTGGATCCATATGTATGGACTTGGAGGAGTGCCCTTGACACATTTTTAAGCAAAAAGCATTTCAGCCCTAGCTGGATGGCTCAGTTGGTTAGAGCCTCGTTCTGTACACCAAAAGGTTACAGGTTCAATCCCCCAGTTGGGAAGTGTACAGGAGGCAATTGACCGATGTTTCTTTCTCACCTCTCTCTCTCTCCCTTCCTCTCTAAAAATCAATGGAAACATGTCCTTGGGTAAGGATTAAAAGGGGAAAAAAAGCAATTTGCCAAGTAATTGTATTGTGTGATCTTACTTTTCTTAAAAAAAAAAAGGAAAATACATGATTTTTCTGAACATGTGTGTGCAAACTTGTTCTTGAGTGTGGGAAAAGTGGGAAAAGCTGCACCCTGAGCCACCTTGGCTACTGGGTGGGATCAAATTTGGGGAAGGAAGAAAAAATGATGGTTGGCCTTTTTTGTGAATGTCTTTATATTGTTTAGCTTGTTCTAACAAGAATTGTTTCTTTAGTTTAAAAGAAAAACATCCAATGAAGTATATTTAAAAAAAAAAAAAAGAAATCAAGCCAGCCAGCATTAAGATCTGAAGTCTCCAAGATCAAATTTGGGCTACCCATGTCAACAAGTCCAATCTTTAGACATCTTGAACAAACCACCCCAACTGGTGGGGTTCAAAAAAAGCCCTGAAAACCACACCCAAAACATAGGAAATACCATGCAGAAAACAGCCTGACCAGGACCAGGACATGGATTCTAGCCCCAGCGTGGCTTTTTACAAGACTTTGGGCAATTTGCGTTACACTTTTAGCCTCAGTTCCCTCATCTGCAAAATGGGAATAGTGTGGCCTGCTTTTGCTGCTTCTGGGTTTTTTAGGGGATCAGGTGAGATGAACTACGTGGAAGGTCTTTGTGAATCCTACCACCCTGCTACTCGGAGTCAGGCTTTCGGACCCGCCGTGGGGGCATCACCAGGGGCTTGTTAGAAATGCAGGTTTCAGAATGGTCAGGCCTTGCATTCCCACAGGACCCAGGGTGGTTTCTGCGCACAGTGAAGTCAGAAGTGCTAAAATGAAGGACTTTTCAGTGCAGAATAATTACACGGGAATCAGAAGAACTTGATTTGTTTTGAACAACAGAGAGCTCAGGCAGACACGAGGGATGCTGGGCCAGGCGCTCCCTGCCTGCTGCCTCTGGGTGCAGCAGAAGTTTCCACAAGGCGACTGTGCCCGCTGAGGATGTGGGTTTTCCTGGTCTCCGGGCCCCTCCTGTTCTCCGAGAGAGGCCCCGGAAGGAAATCAGTGGGCCTTTCTCATCTGGGCACATAGGGGGAGCCTAACCACAGGCCGGTGTTTGGGGACACGGGCCTGGTGCCTCCCCATTCCTCCCGGGTAATCTAATTAGCTCTCAAAGAGAGCCCGAGCCTCATAAAAATTAAGCCACTAAGTCCACGACGCTGCTGGGGAACATCATTCAAGATGCGGCCAGTGCTTTTCATTAGGAGAGCCCCAGTGCGGGGCGGGAAGCTTTCAGAAGCCGTTCCTAAAGCCAGTGGGAGGGGTGCTGGGCCACAACCTGGGCACCGCTGCTGCCCATTCAGAGGAGCTGCTGAGTGGCTGTTGGCAGCTGTCCCTGCCCTGGTCCTGCCAGACTCCATCCAGCCCCGCAGCAGGCCTTGCCGGAGCCCCTGGAAATTCCAGGTGGGGCTCCGGGACTTGCCGCCATAACTCCATCCTTCTTCCCCCAGCATCCTCCAATTTCCTCTCCGCCTCTGGCTCCCAAGCTGTGACACATTCCCTTCATTTTCTACAAAGCAGGTTATTTCCCTCTTGGACAAATTTCTAAATCTTTCTAATTAACTAATTGGGTTGGGTTGAAGCCTTCCACCATTTGTAACCTGTAATTACTAGAAAATTGCCATGGTAACCACACTACTAATTAGTGACAATTTATTGCCATGGCAATCAGGCCATAACAGAGATGTTACCCACAACTCCTCCTTGGCAAGTTTGCTGCACAGTTGGGAGCAGGTGAGTTGACATTGGGGGAGCTGGCCTCTTGGGCACTGGCTCCAGCAGCCTCAGGTTGGGGGGACGGGGAGGAAACCTGGGGTCTGAGGCAGGGGCAGCCAGATGTCTGTACCCCACACTGGTGCCGCAGGGGAAACTTCTCCCAGGTCGATCATGTAAATCTCCTTTAAACCAATAAAATCTATCCATCCCAAGTGCAGCCTGACACTCCCACTCCCGGCCTGGTCAATGACAGAGGCCCTTACTCAGCAAATATCTTCTTCCTGGACCTTCCCTCCTCCCCAGCCTCCCCCCTCCTCTGTCACGCCTCCCTGTCCCCGATTCCTAAGGTTTTGCACACACGTTATGGGGCCGCCCAGAGGGCAGTCAGGAGCATCTTTATCTGGCCTAGGAGAATGTGCCCCAATACTGATGTCTACCTGACATCGTGAGTCCTTATCTACTGGAGGCAGGGTGTCCTCTTGGGGACAAGCAGTTCCCCGTTGGGGCTGGGAGGCAGCACTGCTGGTGGGAAAGACTGAGGGGCAGAAAGTTCGAGCTGTGTGACCTTGGGCACGTCACTGGGCCTTTCTGGGCATCTCGTTTTCTCACAAGAGAAAGACTGATCATGATAATAATAGTCTTTGTCAGGGCTGTCCCAGCGGGTTTTGGAAGGTACCCGGGAAAATGCCAGGTGCCACACAGTCATTAGCTGGGACTATTTCCCACCTGCTGGGTGAGTAAGGTCCCTTCCAAGTTCTCCTGGTTCTGCTGTTGGGTGTGGATGCTGCTCCCTGCCCACCCCTTCCTGAAGGCTTCTCTGCCCACCAGGCGGGGTGAGAGGCGGAGTCACGGGAAAATGTGTCCCCACGGCTCCCTCTCCCTCCTGCCACATTCTGGCACCCCCTTTGATGATTTACTCTTTGGGCCTGAGCCCCCTTCACCCTCAAAAACTGCACCCCTCAACCTCTGAACCCTGTACTTGGGTGATGCAGACTCAAGTCCTATTGGGGTGTAGGTCATCCACCTCTCAGACCACATCTGGGTCAGCACACGGGGGTCCAGGGTGTAGGGTTGTGGGGTGAGGAAGGGAAAGAGGTTTGGGGGGAGAGGGTGTGCGCTGCTGAACTGCCCCATACTACGGGACTGAGGACCAGGGGACTGAGAGGCAGGGGGACTCTGTGCTCAGGGAAAGACTCTAGGTTCTTGCCCCGCCTCCGCACCCTCTCTGGCCACGGGAACTTGGGAGTGTGCTCTCCGGACCTTGGTCCCACTCCCTGGGAATGGGTGGGGGGATGAAATCTCCAAGGCTCCTTCCACCTCCCTCCTCAGTGCATCCCTCAGGCTGGGCTGCAGGATAAACATGGTTGGGAGTAGAATCGTGGGCCCATCTAGACTGGGCACCATGAGGCTCGGGTGAGGCCTGTCCACCAAGGAACTTGGACGTGTGAGAGCAGTCTGCTGAGACCTTGATAGGAATATGATGCTGGTGGACGCCAAGGCTTACAGGCTGCCAAGCACATCCAAGACATTGTAAAAGAGTAGCAAAGGTGCTAGAAGATGTAGGCGTGGAGGAGTGGGCAGTGTGCATGTATGTGTGTTGGAGAAGGAGGGGTGAGGGTAAGGGCAGGATGGTGACAGAGTCTCACCCTAAATTTCCTGAAAGTTCTAACACGCAAACACACTGTGTTGGTGCTAGACTTGCCTGTCTCCCCCGGAGCCTCCGTGAGCTGTCAGATGCTGGGCAGGGTTCCGAGTGGACCAGTGAACAGGGCATTAGACAAGGACATTCCCGCTGCGTCCCCAGTCCTTGCCCATCCCTGCAGGATGCTGAGAGGCAGGTGGGCAGGAGGACAGGCTCCAGCATTTGTCTGCTGGGATTCCTACACCGGGGGCACCGGGTGGTTGCAGGAGGGATGCTGATCCTCACTGTGCGCTGCCCCCCTCCACCCCAGGCAGTGAGGGGCTGGAAGAAGCTGTTTCAGGAGAGAGGACAGGTAAAGGAGTGGCAGGAGTCGCTCCGCTGGCAACCTGTTGTTCAGTCCTGCGTACCAGGTACTGTACACGTTTCATCTCACCTCACCTTGCCTAGGTGAGGAAACGGAGGCCCAGGGAGGCATGACAGCAGCCAGCAGGCAAGAGATCACAGTTCAAACCCGTGTCTGGGTGCCCCCGAGCCTAGGCTATTCCCACAGTGCTCTCTCCAACCCTTCTGCTAAAGTTCCCTCTTGGCAGAGGAGCCATCTGTATTTCTGTAGCCAGGCTTGACATTTCTTTAAAGGCTCTTATTTTAGCTAAAGAAAACGTGTACCAAATTGCATTTGTATTGTATAACATATCTGTGTTTGTTTTGGAAAAAAAAAAGTGATGTCCCTTCTTGTCAATCATCTAATGCATCTGATAGCCTGTGTATCTCAGGGCTTTGGGTACCCCTGGCAGGGTTCCCGGGCCCTGGCTGAGGGGCCTGTCACTCCAGCCCAGACTGTCCCTGGTCGTCAGATCTGGCTGCACTCCCGCTGCAAGGCCAGAGCCCCCCGCCCCCCGGGAAGCTGGGAGGCTCGGCGGCCCCCGCTCTGCTGCCCCTGGTCACCTCTCCAGAGCTGGCTGGTGGGGACCCGCCAGAAGGCCTCAGCTGGGCTTTAGGCATCTCCGTCTCCTCCAATAATGACTTCCTATAAATCAGACCTGCCCTCGCTTTGTTCTGCACTGCTCCCAGCCAACAGCGAAATTCCCCACCCAACACCATAAATCCACCTTCATTTTCTTTCCAAATTTCTTTTAAGGCTTCTTTAATCACCACCTTGCAGCCCGGACAGATGCTCCCTTAAAGGGTGGGGCCAAAATGCAGAGTTCCTGGGGAGGGGTGGAGTTTGGGGGGAGGAGGGGAGGCAGGGTCAGGAAAAAGGGAAGAGATGGATTCGGATGGAGACAGGGATAAAGAGGCCCATGTCTGTGCCCAGGGCTGGGCACCTCGTTTTCTCACAACAGGGGCTGCAGGGTAGAGTTGGGGGGCTTGGGCACACATGGAGAATGCCTCCAGGGCAAGGGCTTGGCCTGCTGGCTTTGTGCTTCACCCTGTGCCCAGCATGGTGCTCCTTACGCCAAGGAGATGCGCAACAGAGGGTCCTCGCATCACTGTTGGAACTTCAGGGGAGCAGTGTGTTGCTGTTTGCTACACTTGGTGGGCACGGCCTGTGTGCTAGGCCCGGTGCCTGGCACGTCCCATGTTTACCTCCTTTCATTCTCACAACACCCCCATTTTTCGGGGGAGAAAACTGAGGCCCACAGAGGGTAAAATCCTGCCTCCACTGCTGCCTGGAAAGGACATGGTGGAGGCAGGATCTGCACCTGGTCCTCTGGCTCCAGATGTTGTCCTGGCAGCTGTTAGATGGCTAGTTCAGAGTGCTCACAGGGGCTAAGAGACTTGCCCAAGGTCACTTGGGCCCCAGAGGCAGTGCTGACCTCTTAGTCCCCACCTTCCCCCTCCTTGGATTCCATGCCAGCCTCTGTGATGGGGAGAACTAACTCAGGATTCCCATGAAGGGTAGTTCCCCGCACTGCCCAGGCTCCAAGAAGCTGTGAGCAGCTGAGGAAGCCAGGGCTTGGGATTTCTCATCGAACCAGAAGCCATGGGGTGCACTCTTGGCTCTCCTAATGTCCCTCCAGGGGCCCTCGAGTCCCCCAAATCCCCCGAGAGCAGGCACGCTGGCCGCTAGATGGCACTGTGACCCAGCAGAGCAGCAGCCGCCCGCAGAAGAGACAGTCTGGAGAGGTCTCCCCTCCCCCTCCAGAGGAGCCGGACAGCCAGTGCGGGCAGTGCCACCACCCGGCCGGCTGACCTGGTTGCTGGGCCTCCCCCTGCTGCCCTGGCCACCCCAGGCCAGGCGGCTGCTTCAGCCACAAAAATCAGGGACCACATGAAAGTCTGAGTGGCAGTCCCTGGGGCTGTGTTCCCCTGGGGGCGGGCCTTCCTCCTTCCCCAGCCCTCTGTCTTGCAGGCTGGAGCAGGATTCTCAAGCTGGAGGTCATCGGAAAGGTCAGCCAGTGGGGGCGGGGCTGTAACTGCTAGTGTCTCTACACCCTCCCGTGTGACCTTGGGCAAGTCCCTTCTGCCCGGGGACCTCCGTTTGTTCTTTTGTAAAACGGGAAGTTCTCTGAGGTCTGTCCAGCAGATGGGGGCTGTGTGGCTTGGCTCCTGGGACCTGCGGCTCCCTGACTGCACAGCTGGCTGTGGCTTGCTACCCTCCCAGCCAGCTCAGGGCCCTGCACCTACTGCCTGCTTCCTCACCCCTTGCCAGCCCCACGGCACTGGCCATGTGCCAGAGCCTCGGCAATCAGGCTGGGCTGCGGTGGTGGTCCTTACATTTGGGGTCCATTCCTGGGATTCAGGGGGGTGCTCAGGGCTCGTTTTCCAGCCAGATGTCCACGAGTTGTTAACGGAATGACAACAGGGCCTGCCGGGTAGAGTTGTTGGGGGGCTTGGCAGACAGGGAAAGGGTGGGCTGCGGAAGGCGGGCAGACATAATAGTAACTTGGTGGGCCAAATACGTTCTTGTCAGCCAAATGGCTTTTGGAGGTCTGCAAAGCTGCTCTAACGTGTCCTCTGGGCACGCCAGCTGCCCCGGCCCGCCTGTGTGCTCCACAGAAGCTGCCGTCCCTTCCTTGAGCTGCCCGGTCCTTCCAGCACAGCCCGGCACAGTTGGCTGGTGCTCCCGCCCCCATCCCCGCTCCTCAGCTGTCTCTTCTTGGTCCCCTCCTTCCCCCTCCTCGGTTCCTGCCAGCCTCTGCCAGCCCAGCCAGCGAGAACAATGTCCCCTTCATGCTCAAACCCGGCTAGCACCTCCTGAATTCTTTCATTCTGTGTGGAACCCTTTCCCAGACCTCGCCGCCCCTCCATCTCGTCATTTTCAAGTGCTACATCTCCCTGGCCCACCCTCCTCCTCCTGCAGATCAAGGCACTTAATTGCCAAGCCAGCCCAGTGCGCAGAACTGGGACCTATTCCGGAAAACAGATTGTACAAATCTAGGCTGAAGCTCCTGCGTGTTTATTCCTTTTCCCGGGAAAACATAGTTTATTACTGACACTCAGCCTTTCCTCTGCACATCCACGTGCGGAGCTCTGGAGGGCTCTGCCGGGCTTGAGCTGTGCAGACGATTTTATTGTCTAGTCATATGTTCCCACAAACTTTGTCAGACAGGCCGACATCCATCTCCCCCTTTCACCGAGGTGGAAAGCTGGCTGGAGGAAGGCATCATAAACTCGGGGGAGGCTGTGACAACCCTTTCTGGGTAGGAGAGTGGGATTATGCCACCACCCCGGTGTCTGGAAGCAGAGGGGGTGGGGCAGCCCAAATGACCCTCCAGTGTCTTCCCAGCCCCAGGATTCGGATGCAGGCAGGCTGCCACCCTGGAAGTCTGTGGTGCAGACGGGGATGGCTATATTGGGAAGGTCGACCAATGAGAGAATTTCTCCGTCCAGAGGGCGGATGCGGTGTGAGTGAGGCTGGAGTTCACGTGAGAAGTTGTTGTGCACAACTCTGGCTTCCTGATTTCTGGCACCCAAAACAGGAACTGGATGGCTCTGCCATCAGCAGTCTATTGGCAGATTGTCAGAGTTTAGTCAGCAGCCGTGCTGGCATTAGAAAAACAGCCTTCCCTAGAAAGATCTCCCTGTCAGAGACTCTGACAATTGGCCCCCCATCCAGAAAGATGGGGGTGGAGGGGGGAACAAGGCGGGGGGAGCCTGCCTTCCAAAAAAGTGTGGGAGAGGTTTTGGAACAAGAGCACAATTCTTTGAGCCCAGTTATCCGAGACGGGACCCAGCTGAAGCTCAGGGATTTAGCTAGCACTCAATTCCTGGCTGCTTATGTGTGAGTAAATAATTTCATCTGCTGCTTGGCAATAAAGAATGCTTTCAACCTCAGCCTTTGTGACTTGCCCGTTTTCTCCTGCAGAACCTGTTCACCCGTCATGTGGGTCACAGCAGGGAACGGGGCGAAGGTTGTAAGGACAGGTGATGTTACGGTGTTCACACCTTGTGTCCTCTGTGCCCCAAGGGGCCCCCTAAAGCCCTCACCTGCCAGGCATCTCGTCAGCCCGTGGAGAGGCACTGCTGGAGGAGCCCTCTGCGGGTGGAGGGATGGAGTAAATCTTCATCCTCCCTCCCCAGGGACACCCACCCATCTGCTCCTGTGGTCTCTGATGAACTAGCCCCTCCCCAGCCCCAGCCCCGACCCCTCCGGCTCGCAGCCTCCCATGTCACTCTGCATACCTGTATACTTGCTGACCCCAGCCTCAGCAGCCACATCTCTGAGCGCCAGAATGCCCCGGGAGAGGTCACTGGCCTCGGGGTCCATTTCAATGAGGGCATCAGGGCCCACATTACCGTAGGCATAATTGGCGATGTAGATAGAATAGCGTCCGGAGCCCTGAGGAGGAAGGGAAGGAGGTGAGCAGGCCCATCTGGGCTCATCGAGGTCTTCCCCCCAGAAAGCAGTTCTCCCCCTCCTCTCGCAGGACCACAGCTCTTTTACGGGGTGGGGTTCTTCTCCCCGGGTCTGGTGTGCAACGGCCTTGCGGGCTGTGCCCTGCACGACGCCAGAGTGCTTTTCACGGAGGCTACAGAGGGCATGATGCCCCTGGAGTCCCACAAAAAAGCCACCCTCCTTCTCTCTATCCTGTTCCAGAAGAACACATCTCTCCCTCTCCCCCAAACCACCTTTTTATAGACAATTTTCTAATGTGCCTCCCTCCAGCTGAGCTCTCTCCAGCTGCCAGCCAGGGTAGCTGCTCAATAAATATTTGCTGATTGATTGATCTACCAGTTCCCATTATTCTCAGTCTCTCTCTCTCTCTCTCATTCAAGCTCACTCCAGCCAAGATGACAAGCAAATTCCTGAGACATCTCCCTCCCCCTGCCCACCCTATACTTCTTCATTCCTCTAGGTAGCACGGGAGGCTCGGATACGCAGGGGTCCTCCTTCCCTCCTCCGTTCCTTTGTCTTCCCCACATTATACAGAAAGACATATTGTACTGCTTCTGCCTTTATAACACGGCCTCAAATGCTTTCCCTTTGCACGCTCCTTGTTGCCGTAGTCATTCTCGTCTGTAGTCCGCACCACTGCTGATGAGACGGTCTGTTCTGCCCATCATTATAATGGTGTTATTTCTCCACTGGATGCCTCCTCTCCCCCAAGAGACCCACACAGCTTCGAAATCAGTTTTCTAGCTTTCCTCTCACCCCTTTCAACATTTCCCTCCAATTAATCAGATAGTAGATATTTCGTGAGCTCTAACTACATGCAAGGCGCTCTGCTCTATGCACTTAAAGTCTTCATTCTTAGGTTGCTTCCAGTCGGGTTTAAAGGCAAGCCATACACACAAAACTGCTGAGTCCAAGACAAGAGTGTGCTCTGTCAGCCCCTCTTTTCAACTCTCCCGCTTGCTTCTATTTCTTACCCATAGACCCCATGGGCAGAACCCCGTTCCAACTAACCGGTCACTGACTTTATCTCTTCTCTGGGACCATTTTCTCCGGGAAAGCTAATTAAGAGCCACTTGGTGGGTGAGGCCAACAAAGGACCTCAGGGTGTCCTGGGGGATGCTGACACATCAAGAATCATACAATTATATATAAATGTTATTTATATATAAAAATATAAATACCTGGTATTGCCTACTTGCTGACCCCAGCCCCAGAATGCCCCAGGAGAGGTCACTGGCCTCGGGGTCCATTTCAATGAGGGCATCAGGGCCCACGCTACCGTAGGCATCATCATATGTATATGATTGAGAAAGTGTGTACAAGATTTCCTGGGTAACAGAAGAGGGGCTCCTACCCCAGAGGAAGGGCACCTAGTCATTGGAAATTCAGAAAAGGTTTTCTAAGAGGAGCATCAGCCAGGTGAAGTGGAGGGGAAAGAGCCTTCCAGGCAGAGACGAGACAGAGAATGATGTATGTAGGGAACCCACAGCAGTTGGCTTAGTGGTGCTGGAATGTAAAATGCGAGGCAGGGCATGCCAGGGGACAGCGCTGGAGGAGGTGGCGATGCTGCTCCCTGGGGCCTTGGACACCCTTTCGTTTTTGGTTTTCCGGGTCTCTCTCCTGCTACCTGGGAATCGATGCTTTACAAACCTCTTTACTCAAAGGGGTCCCTGGAACAGCAGCACTGGTGTCATCTGAGACCACACCCATGTTAGAGCTCTCAGGCCCCCCCAGATCTGCTGAAACAGAACCTGCATTTCACGAGACCCCCAGGCGATCCTATGCACACGGAAGTTTGAAATGCATGGCTTTACAACATGGCTTCATGGTTAGGGGAGAACTGTGAAAGGTTCTTGCCCATCACAGGAGCTTGGCATACGTGGGTGGAATGATTGGGTACACAGTGAATGAATGGGGCCAAAGGGGAAAGTCACCATCACTGTCACGGCTCCTGACCCTACCAGCTGTTAGCAATTTCATGCAGAAATGTGCGATTAAAGCCTAAGTAAATTGAGATGCACTCTGCTAGAAATTAGGATATTTATAAAATTCACTTATACCTACTTCCTGACTTCAATGTATTGGGGGGACACTAAGCTGGCAAACATAGGTGTGTGACAGCCGTAGGAGACGGCAGAAATTCACGTGTGAACTTGACCACAGTCATTTTGGGGAAGCTGAGATGGAGGTCATTCCAGGAAAAGGAAGATGTTTCTAGAGCTTTGGGGCTAGGACAGGAGGCCTCACCAGTTAGCCTAGCACGTGGGGGGCTTGTTCCAATGAGGATGTAGGGCTCCGTCCCAAGAGGTTCCAATTCAGGATGTCCGGAGTGGGCTCCGAGAATCTGCATTTCTAACAGGTTCCCAGGTGAAGCTGATGCTACTGGTCCAGGAACCACACTTTGAGAACCGCTGGTCCAGGCCTATTAGCCTGGGTCCTAGTCCAGGCTCTCCCCCTAACTGGCTCCTGGTCCTGGGGCAGATTCCTCACCCCCTTCAACTGCATCTCCTCGCCCGTTAAATGGGGATCATATTCTCCCTGCTTCCTGGCAGGGTTGTTGAGAAGATAAAATGAGACAATGTATGTGAAAGGTCTTTGAAAGATAAAAATGCTATATAAACATGAGGCATAATCATTATCGATCAGGGAACGCTTCTTGTAAGAGATTGGCTTTGAGTTGGATCCAGAAAGGTGGGTGAGTGACGAGGCAGCTGAAGATGAAGGGCAGGCAGTGTTCCAGGTTTGGGGCTGAGAACAAGTGAGGGCTGGAAGGGGAGAGGGAGGGAACGGCAGATGGGAGGGTTGAGGCATTTATCTGGTGAGATGGTCCTCCAACTTGAGCCTGCATCATATTCACCTGCAGAGTTAGGTGAAACCCAGATGGCTGGGCCCTCCCCCCAGGATTTCTGATGCTGTAGGGCTGGAGGGTGGACTGGGTTGGGGCCTGAGGACTTGCATGTCTAACAGTGCTGATTCAGCTGGTTGGGGACCACACTCTGAACAACACTGCCTAGGTAGACTAAAAGGCCCTGGATAGGGTCTGGGGGGCCGAGGAAGGCGCAGGGTGAATGCCATAATAGGAGTCGTGGTTAGAAATTTGTGCCGGATACTGGTTCACTCAGAGGCAGGGTAGCTGAGTGAAAGCGTATCTGATTCACTTTCAGGCGGGCAGGACTCAATTCTTGACTTTGCCTGCCACTCACTGTGTGACCAAGGTCAAGTTGCTTAATTGTCCCAAGGGTCAGTTTCCCTATCTGTAAAATGGGGATGCTGAGAGTACCTACCGCGTAGGCTTATTATACGGATTTAATAAGATGATGCTTATAAACCACTCAGCACAGGGCTGGGCATGTTGTTAGTTTAATAAATGATCGCTATTATTGTTATGATTGTTCTCGAATTTTCCTACATCTCGCTGCATTCCTACCTCTCAACTTCCAGGCTGGCACTGACCTCTTCCACAGGTCTCAGGCCCCAGGGACTGCGAGGTGGTGGTGGACTCAGAAAGCAACCCCTCTGCTGGTGGCAGATGGGCTGAGGCTTGGGCTGGGCAGGGACTGAGTGAGCAGCTAAGTGCCTGCCTACTGTGCTGCATGCCCATGCTTTTTTTTTTTTTGCATTTTGCATTTTGCACAGTGCCTTTGTCCTGTGGTTAAATGTGTGGGTGTGCAGATGACCTTGTTAGGACAGAGAGTGCATCTCTTTGTGATTAACCTTCAGGCCCTCCCACCAGCTCTGAGAAGGTTCCCACCTTTGCAGAGTGTGGAAAGCCTTGTTCCTGAAAGACCGAGACAGGAAGCCAGCAGGACACTGGGTCCAGGTCCCCAGCAGCAGCCGGCCTGGCACCTCTTAGACCCTTCCCACTCCCTGGGGCCGCTCACAGAGCCGCCTCCCCTTCCCTCCCACCAGGCAGGAGTCCAGGTGGCACAGATTCAGGTCAGGGCTAAATGTGGTTTCACAGCCCAGCTTGGCTCCTCTTCTCAGCACCAGCTTGTTAAGAAATAAATATTTATACCTGGCACCTGCCTTCTCCCAGGTCCTGGAGCCCCTGCTGTGAAGGTTCACGCTGAATCCCCAATCCCCTCTGTGCCATCTCATTCCTGAAATGAGCCAGCCCCTTTGCCCCTGCCCCGCCCCGTGGAAGCTGGGCAACAGCTGGGTCCCTGATTTAGTGAGGACTGTTTTGTAAAGTCAAGGAGGGGGCAGCAGGGGAGCAGGTGACACGAGGGATAAATCACCTCCACAGGACGCCTCCAGCTCTGGCTGGGGCTGCTGGGATGCATGCCCGGTGTGGGGGGGGGGGCAGGTCCCCCAGGGCAGATGGCTGCAGCTGCTCCTCCTGCTCCCCACTTGGCCTTTCTTCCCCGTCCTTCTTGTAGGGTGGACCAGCAGGGCAGAAAAGTATTGATAGAGATATTGATTAACGGAGGTACTTGTGCACTGTGGCAGCCTCCCACTCACCCACCTGTGAGCCCCTTTGTCATGCTTTCATTTGTTGGATCAATATTTACTGGGGGCCCTATGGCTCAATGCTTGGCACATAGTAGGCACTTAACAAATGTTAGTTGAATGAATGAATAAGTGCACAAGGTTTACAGCTAGAAGATTCCAATTCAGGTCCTGGCCACACCACCAATCCATTTGGGGTCCTCAGGCCAGTCACTGCCCTAAGCTGGGCCTCAGTGACACTGTCCAGCGGATGACAGCACCTAGCCAGTTGCCTCACTGGTTGCTGGGAGGGCCTCATGGGAGAAAGGCTGTGAAAGTATATTGTAACTCATCCTGCAAGTCTTGGTTGTTACTCTATAGCACCTACTACGTGCAAGACACTGGGAGCGCTGAGATGGCCCAGCCTTTGGCTCTGCTTTTGAGAGCCACACTCTGTCTGGGGACATCTGACTATTGGCTCCCCTCCAGCTCTCCCATTGCTGTTTCCCCCCAACCCCCCGCCCAGGTCCTCCATGTACCCCTGAACTCACCGTCCTGTCCACACAGGCCACAGAGCGCCCGGCAAAGAGGCTGGCCACGCCACGGGCCACGTTGACCTCGTCGCTCAGGATGTCTTCCCACCTGCTATTGCGGAACTTGAATAACTTGTCTGTGTACGTGGCCACCCCTGGAGAGAGGAGGAAAGGGAGGCTGGTGGACCAGGGCCCAGCTATGTCTCGGAGTACCTGCCACAGGGGTTGGGGCCACTGGTGGATGGGTCATCTGCTCAAGGTGAACACTCTTGCAGTACTCACTCAGGCAGGGAAGACTCCTGTGTTTGGGGGCACTCAGGTATTTTCAGTTGAGAGCAGAGACTCTGAGGCCTATGACAATGGCCAGCCCGGCCTCAGAAACTATGGAAGTGACGTTACTGCTACTATGTGTCTGAGATGAGCCTCAACGTTGGGATGCCACTGTCTGCACGTGCTCCTACATCATCAGCAGGGAGACCCGGGATTGCCACTATTTCAGGACCCAAACTCAACCCAGAATGGCTCTTTCTCCAGGAGCTGTCCCCTACCTACATTCTCTGCTGGATTGCAGGACCTGATTGGGGTCTCAGAGGAAACCGGGTGTGTCTCCAAGTTCTGATCAAGGAAGGGACTGGAAGGTTATCTCCAACAGGTCTGTCACCTCCACCCTCAGGGAACCAGGTGGCAGTAGGGTTAGCACTCGGGCAGCCCCGGGAGGCCCCTGCTCCCAGGACTGGGGAGTCCCAGAGGATATTGATCCCCTCGAGAGATGGAGGGAGGCTAAGGCCTCTGAGCTCAGGGAGTCTGCACCACACAATATGCCATATGTAACTGCAGGAGGTCCGTGGCCTCCTGCAGCTCCTCCTGGGGACGTGGTGAGGAACTTCCGGTGGTGGGAGCGCAAGTCCTTCCGAGACCATGAAAGCAGAGCTCTCCCCTCTGCCCTCACCCTTAGTTCATTTCTTGCAAATGTGAGACCCAGAGCATCCATGTTCTAGGAGGGATCACATTCTACCCTAAAGGACTCGCACGGGAAACACAGGAGAGGAGCAGCTAAAGGAATCGGGAAGGTGAGCTTGGGGAAGAGTGGGCTTGGGGACAGAGCTCCTGCATTTGACTCTGGCTGGCCCGGGGGAGAGGCAATGAGCTTAGCATAAAGGGAGAAGTGTGGTGCAGTGGTTAAGACCTCAGGGTCTAGAATGAACCAGCCCAAGGCTCAGTCTCAGTTCCATCCAGATTGCACTTCTAGGTTTTAGTTGTTGACTTCGAGGAAGGTGCTTAGCGTCTCTGAGCCTCAGTTTTCTTAACTGTACATGGGGACGACAAAAACAGCATTCAAGCCTTAGCTGGTTTTCTCAGTGGATAGAGCGTTAGCCTGCGGATTGATGGGTTCCAGGTTTGATTCCGGTCAAGGGCACATGTGTGCAGGAGGCAGCCAATCAATGATCTCTCTCATCATTGATGTTTCTATCTCTCTCCCTCTCCCTTCCTCTCTGAAATCAATAAAAATATATTTAAAACAAACAAACAAACTGCATTCAAGTTTACCATGAGGAATAAATGTGATGATGCACATTAAAGGTTTGGCCCAGCACCCCCCCCCAAAGTGGTATGTATTAGCCAGAAATAATGATTCCAATTTCATAGATGAGATGTTCTTAAGGTGCTTTAGGGACATAAGGTCTGCACTGCAGGGGTTTGTGAGAGTCAGAGTGGGAACGAATGAATGAGAATGAGTATGTGAGAGTAAGCAAGGGAGAGTGGGGGAGTGAACGTGTGAAGTTGAGGAGAGAGAGTAAGAGTGAGTGCATGTGAAGGGAGTGTGAGTGTGACAATGAGTGCGTGTGTGAAAGTGAGTGTGAGTGTGTGTGGGTGAGGGCAGTGTATAAAGGACCTTCCAGTGGCTCTGCCCGGGAGAGGACAATAGGGTTTGCTCTCTGAGTGGCCTAACACCACAGGAGCCCATGGAGGCTGGTGCACAGGCTGCGGGGTCTGGAGTTGGTCTCAGGGATGCTCTCCAGATACCTGGGAGGGAAGGCCCTTCGTGAGCAGAGCGGGAAGCAGGCCCGGGAGACCGGCAGGTGTTTGTTCAGGTGGAGGCCTGGGCTGGGAGCTGCAGCGGGCTCTGCGCAGAGCTGCTGTGGGTTGGGCGGGATGCTCCTGGGGCAACTGTGGAGCCGAGTCCTGACAGAAGCACAGGTGCAACTCTGACTGGGGAGCCCAGGGGCCTGGCTGGTCCTTTCTTTTCTCCCAGCCTGAGAGTCAGGGGAAACAGCTGTGCACCCTCCCTCACAGTGTTGCTGTGGGAATTACAGGAGAAATCGCACTGAAGTTTGGCCCCAGGTCCGGCACCCCCAATTGCTCACCAGAAGCTCTGCACCCCCAGGTTCACAGCCCCTCGTCGTAATCCCTGGGGGTCCGAGGCATTTAGAAATTTAGATTTTTCCTTCCTGGTTTAGAAATGTAACAGTGCACACACCGTTTATTACATAACACGCCCAGCAGGGACCGGGGTGGCACCCCATAATTAAACACATTAATATTTTTGCAGTGAAATATATGAATATTCACATGAAGTGGGATAAATAAAGCCATAAATAGCTCACGTCAGTTCAGGACAGGTTTTGCTATCCACTCTTTTTCCTGCAAACTTAAAAAAAGCACTTGAGGCTTTCAGAGCGTTTTGGATTTCAGGACTGCGGACAGGGACTGTGGACCCAGACTTCCATCCTCGCGGCTGCTGTACCGGAGGCAGTGGCAGCCTTGTCATCGCTTCCTGGCGCCTGGGGGACCTCCAATGGCCCTGCAGGCCGCCTGCTCGCCAGCCTCCCCCAACAGTCAGTGACCCTTGCCCTTCTCTGTCAAACCAGGGCCCCTATAGACTGTCCTTCTGGCTAGTCCAGTCCCCCTGAAACACTGAGGTTCAGTTTGACCAAAGCCTGGGCCAGGTGAGAGAGCAGCTGCCGGCAGCCAGGGCTCCGCATGGCTCTGATGGGCACCTCTGCGTTCCGCGGGAGAAACTGCTCAGTGGCTGAGCTCCTGCCTCAGCGAGATGAGAGGAGAAAACGGGCCCAGGGTGGCTCTAACCGCCTCTGTTTGCCTCATCACTCCCAGGACAACATTTCCCAAAGTGTGCTTTGTGGAACCCTGTTTTCTGTGAGCTGCCTGGAGAAAAGACCTCGTGATCATCGGAGTGCGGCGAAGACCATACCTTCCATCCCCCTCTTGGAGATTTCACAATGGACATGAGTCTATTAAAACTTTGAAAGGTCCTGCCGTAAATTACCTGCATCATTTTATGGAATCCAGCCTTTCCCAAACGAGCTTGGTCACGGAACCCCTTTGTGCAGCTCACCTATCAGCGTCCTGCGGAACTAGGGCTGTTCTTAGCAAACTGCGGTCCTACGGTGTTGCTGTCTGGCCAGAGGGGTAGGGCGTCCAGTGCTGCTAGCCTCTTCCTCCGTTCCAGCCTCCTGGCTTCCGGGCTGACCGAGGACGCCCAGAAGAATAAACTAATTAAGGTAAAATGTGCAGCAGCGATGCGGAGCCTTGTAGATCATAAATGGGAACGGCAAAATCAATGGCAGCCCTTCTGCAGGCAGAGGCCCGAGGCCTGGGCGACGGGAGGGACGGGAGCCCGTGATTTAGGAAGAGCAAACGCTCTGGCAGCTGCAACCTGGGTAATTAGGTGTGTCAGGAAGACAGATAAACAGCGAGCTGTGCGGGTCGATGGCACTGGCAATAAACACCCCGCACTGGCCCCCCGGCCCGTGTCAGCACCTAATCCCGCCTCTGGCTCCTTGTAGCTGCACTCTGCCCTGGGTCCCTCACTGAGTCGGGGTGGGGGGCAGCTGCTTGGGAGAGGACAGGCTGCTAGCTGCAGAAGAGAGGGGTTCTCCTGAGTCCCTGGGGGAGAAGCTGAGAGGGCAGGGGACTGAGAGAAACGGGAAGGTATTCAAGGGCAGGGCAGAAGGCTCTGGGGGTCACGCCCTTGTCAGAGGCACCTCTGGGGACTTCCATTTCCCCCCTGACTTTGGCATCCTGGCATTAAAGGAGCCTTGAAGGTCTCAGAGTCCAGTGGGTGAGGCTCAGGTGCCCACCAGGCCCTGCCAGTGGCTGTAGGCAGCCAGTTGGGAAGGCCCAGTGGGTGAGGCTCAGGTGCCCACCAGGCTCTGCTGAGCGCCGGCTGCTCTGAGAGGCCCCAGGAAAGGAGTCTCTGCCCATGACCCAGGGCACTTATGGTCCATTTGACAGCACAAGGGACAGACAGGTAGAGGAGGTGCCATGGGATCGTAGTAAAACTACTACTACCTAACATTCCTACAGCACTGTCTATATGCCAGGCATGTCACATATTAACCCTCACTCAACCCTAACACAACCCATAAGATGGGTACTATTTTCATGCCCATTTTACAGATGAAGGACCTGAGGCACAAGAGACCACGCGGGACTTGCCTAAGATTCCACAGCTAGCAGAACCCCTCAGGGCAGGGCAGGACAGCACATCCTGGAATCGTGGGGAAATCAGGATGGAATAGGCTACAGTGATCAGGGAGGGCTTCATGATGGAGGAGGCACCTGAACGGAGACTTGAAGGGCCAGAGTAACAACAGCAGTGACTCTGGTTTATGGAGCACTTAGTGCAGCCAGGCTTCACAGGAAACATTCCTTTTTTACAACCATCACCTTGACTAATCCTGTGGCCACCCTGAGAGATAGTTGCTTCATTTTACAGGTGGAAAATGGAGGGGCAGAGAGGTTAAGTGCCCAAGGCCACAGAGCTAGTAAATGGTTGAGACAGATTCAAACCCAGGACTGACTCCAAAGCCTACGCTTCTGAGCCTTGCACTATATGGCTTAGCCAGGCAGAGGAGGGGGTGGTGCACTGGGCAGGCAGGTAGCATAGACAAAGGCACAGAGGGGCACCGAGTTCGCCTAGAGAGGAGGGTTTGTGCAGGTGGAGGAGGAAGCATGGCAGGGCAGCGAGACCCCCTACTTCTAGTGCTGAGGGCGGAGAGGTCATTGGTGGTTTCTGATCTGGGGAAGACAGTGTTTCCAGAAGATTACCCTGGCAGTGGAGTGAGTGGTGGGCAAGCCAGAGAGCAAATGAAATGGGTGGCCACTCTTGTAGTAGCTCATGCTTGATCTGGGG